TGGTTCATGCCATGAGCACACTCCCAGACAGACGTCCATAAAGCACAGGAATCATTGGTGTAGACGGGGATGTTTTTATGCAGTGTTCTTCCTGTCTGTGTGGCTGAATTGCTGGGTGATTATTTTATAACTATTTTGGGTGGCAGGAGGTAGGTCACTCGGGCAGGTCCCAGGTGAGGAAAGGCATCCCTGACCTGCTCTGTCTGCGAGTGTCTGGCACCGGGAGGAACAGGGAGGAAATCTGTGGCAGCAGGATCTCACCCCTCATCTCCATCTTCCAGAACTGATCAGTGGCTGCTCTGTTGCTGCTTCCTTGCTGCAGGGAATGCAGTAGTGGTGTAGGAGTTCTTCCAGGAGCAATGGGTGAGTGCGGGGTGTAGGGGAGTGGGGTCAGCGCAATCCTGGCACTGAGCATGGGAACAGCTCCAGGAATGCCAGCACCTGGAACCTGGACACAGTGCTGAGAGCTGGAGAGACCCTGCACACACACACACCCCCTGTGAGAGCTGCAGAGACCCTGCACACACTCAGCACAAAGTTTTCAATACTTGAGAAGTCTCAGGGTACTCTGTGTGTGTGCACATGCAGGCATAAACACATCCGAGAAACTTAATTTAGTAATACAGGAAAGTGGCTCCAATTGAACTGGTTAATGAAGCAGTTAGTAACCAGAGAAAGGATTTGTGTGGTTCGGGCTTGTTTTTTTTTATTTTTTATTTTTTTTCTTGCTTGTTTTTTTTTTTTTTTTAAAGCAGATAAATTTCAGCTGTAAGAATTTATCATTCAAATCAGAAGATTTGGGGAGCTATTGAGAGTAAAGAGAGCTTTGATGATTTGGCAAGGAATACAGCTTCTAAGGCAGCACTTTGATCTGCATTTTAAATGCTTCTTTGTAATGACAGTTTCACAATTTCTTTTCTCCTTTTGAGTCAGTTTTGCAGAGGTATGTTTTGAGAGAAAATAGCAACAGCACACATTATTCTTGTTGGCTTTGGAGCCAGCTAGAACTTGTAGTTCATCCCAGATCTTTTGGCTACCATGGTAAATTTATGATTGCACCAAAGAGGAAATTAGTAAAGATGTTAAATATTATCAAAGCTTTGCAAATCTTTTGAAATCTCCCCGGTGTGAAAGCTAAGCTTGCATTAGCATTTCTGCTGTGGTGTGTTGAACAGTGTTTATCCAAGCATCCACCTAATACTGCAGGTTCCTGATTTAGCTTTTTTTTTCCTTCTGAAGGACATGCTACTGTTTAGCACATGCATCCTTTTAATCTTGCATTGCACCTGAAACCTTGGCTCTAATGACTCGAGCTTTCTCAAGACCACCCTACTGGTACCATTTTTCCTTCCCTTCTGTCTGCAGCACCTCCTCCAAGTCTTGTTGGAGGGAGAAGGTTGTTGGTACCTGCATGTTCATATACAATAGAGCTTGTTTCATTAATTGATGTAGTATGGAGAGGGGTAGGAATTAGGAATTTTTATTAAGGTTTTAATTTAAATTTTCCATAGCATCTTGGGGAGAGGTTTATATTTCTCATTGGAAATCAGCAGCCTCAAGCATGAGAACGAATAAACAGGTTTTCCCAAATTGGTTCAGAGCTGTGTGGCAGCTCTTCTGGTGCTGGTTTTGGCCTCTCCTGAGCTGTGGCTCTGATGAGCTGTACCAGGCTGGCAACTCTCTGCTTGTGGAGCAAGTGTGTAAAACAGGGCACACATTTCATTTGCAAGGTAAATTCGCCCAGGAAGCTGGGTCTCAATACATGCAAAGGGTACTGGTAGGCCTTAGATAAATAGTGCTGTGTGAACATTTGACTTGCATCCCTCCCAAACTGTCCGTGACTGTGCTCAGTGGGGCGTTATCCCTGCTTTTGGATCTCTCTGGTACACGGTGCTGATTTGGAGCATGTGGCCCTGAGACATGTCAGTCATCCATCCCACTCAGACATGGCACAACCAGGGCACTGTCTGTGTTTAGGCTCAGGTTGGCATCAAGTCCACCTTCACTTCTAGCATTTTTTTTTTAACTAAATGCTGCTGTTTCACTGTGTACAGCAGTGCTAAGGCCATAATCCATCAGTGTCCCCTTTTTCTCCAGATAGTCAGACTTCCCATTTCTCACTGATGCAGGACTAGGCTAATGCTCCATTTAGAAGAGGGTGTGTTTTTCACTGTGTGTGGTGTGTGTTAGCGTGTCCCAGACTGTGGTGTTATATAAAGACACCTTGCACATCTTTGGAAACTTGCCTCACAAGTTGTCAGTGTTGGTGGATGTCCACAGTGCTTTCAAGTGGTTCACACATTTGTGTTTGGTGTATTCAGTCTCGCACATCTCTTTAATAAAATGCCTCAGACTGGGTAATTTTTCACTTGCAGTATATATTCAAAAAAGTGCAGTTAGAAAGGCAACTGCTTTTGTACATGGCTGTTCTCTGAACTATTCCTGAGACCCTGCTGATGCCTGCAGAGCTGAGGGATTGTGCCTGTGATGGTTTGTGCTCTTCAGCAGGTGCAACAGGATTTCCCACATTTGCAAACTTGGCCCAAGCAACCCAGCAAAGCAGAATTTAGCCTTGGCGAATGAAAACTGATTAACCCCCAGGCTTGGAGCGTACCAAGGATGAAAAAAGTTACTGGCACAAAAATCAAGGCTGCTTTTCAAAGAATATGTGCAAGACATGGCTTGGGGATTTTTTTCCATCTCTTCATTCTGTCCAATATGTAAAGTAGCTGGTTTGTTACTCTAACCCCCTACAAATGATTGTCAGTAATAATTCTGTAAAACTGTGAATCAACTCTGCATGACTTTGTGCAAATAGACTGAGTAATTTCTTTGTTCTTTTCTTCTTACTTTGTAATTGGAGTCTGTAAAAGCCCAAAGGTTTGGTCTTGTGGAAAGCATGATTCATTTATTGGTGTCTGTGCCGACTAGTTATCTTTCAGTAATTCCAGAGTGCTGCTACAAGCCAAGAGTGATTCATACATGGCTAAGTGCACAAACAAATGGGGTCATGGCCATCTGCAGAAACTTTTCTAATCTATTTATGGTATCGGAGAAAGAAGTGGGTGTATTAAGGATGATGGAATAGGTGTCAATTACATTAGTGACTATAACTGGTTAAGTAACGCTCACCATTACTCAAAACCACATCTGCTCCTTGCTACAGATCACAACAACAGGTCCTGTTAAAATGTTAACACAGGTCTGATACAAGAGATGGATTGAGTGTCCAGCCTGCATCGCCATCCTCACAGCTCTCCTGCCTTCCTTGAGATTCAGGGATCAGGAACTTGCACTGGGAATATTTGTAGTGGCAAAGCCTGTCTCTGCTATTGCAGACCTTGGTCATGGTAAGCTTTACACACAGAATTTGGCTTTATACTTAACTTGTGTTGATGATCAGGATGGGGTTTGTCATGTCTAGCAGGCAGAATGGCTGTGCAACATCTCATGGTGCTGGTCAGGTGGTCAGTTTTCCTTCCAAAATTTCCATCAGTGGTTTAAAATCTTGAGGGAAGATGACCAGCATCTTACAAGGTGGCCTTTCTCTACTTCTGTTCCTTTTCACTAATTGTGAAAATTAATTCTCCCTTTGTAACTCCAATAACAAAACATCCCTGGCTGCAGCTGTGCCAGAATTGCTCTGGTCAGGTTTTAGGCTTTTGCTCCGGGGGAGGCTCCTTTACTCCTGCTCCTGCCCTGCCCAGGGGTGGAGGCGCTGGGTCCAGGGCTGGAGTTGGTTGTGAGGAAGAGAGAGTTTGAGACCAGCAATAGGAAACACAGGGCAAGAAGCACTCCAGAGGTGGAGGGTCTCTAGTGGGCTCCCTCTGGACCCTTGACTGCCAGAGCCTGCCTGCTCCTCAGCCTTGCACCCTGCAGCTGCTTTTGCAGCTGAGATACATGCATCCCACAAGATGTTGCCCTTGCAGAGCATGGAGGGCTCTCACAGTGTGTTAGAAGTGTCCCATGTCTGCAGGATGGCTGAGTGTTACTCATGATGAGGTTTGGAAGTGGCCATGGCCTCGTCTCCCTGAGCCCTGGGAGACCTGTACAGTCACTGCTCAGTTTGATTTCAAAGGACTTGACTAGAACACAGAGCTCACAGACTCCAGTTTCTGTAAACTGAATTTAAGCATCAGCACTGGCCAAAAATATGGAAAAATTTGGCAATGCATTGTTGTTGTCCTTTCACTGATGTTTTGAGCACTGTGTTCTGTTGCACCCTCACTGCATGTGCTCCCTTGAAGGGACACAAGGCCTGGCTGACACTCTGAGTTCTCTTTAGAGGGGGAAGTGACCCAGACTTTTGCCCAAAGGACTGATGAGCCTCTCCTGATGTCTGAGCAGCTTTCTTCTCCTGCCCTTGCTTTACTTAAGTCAACAGATTGTGTAAGCCACATGCGAGATTTACCTGCAGGGCAAGTGGGAGAGCAGCAGTGCCATTTGGATGAGTTCCCAAGAGACATCTAACCACTGAAGTGTTCAGACTCACATTTCCAAGCCCGAGTCCTACAACAGTCCCGAGTCTGCCTCGTCGCCTCCTCCATCCGTGGCTTTGGCTGCCGAGGACGAGTCCCAGGGAATTTGCCGTCTGCAGCCACTGGCTGGCAGCTCCTCTGCGGGCTGGGCTCTGTGCTGAGCAAGCTTGGATATTCTCCCCCTTAGTGGTTTCTGTTTAATGTTATGATTAATGTCGTTATTTCTTACAAAAACAGAAGATCCCCCCAAAGCAGAGCTCCGGCGCTGTTCCCACGGTGCTCAGGGTCCATGGGGATCACCCTTGGAGCCCTGCACTTCTTCACGGGGTGAAACCCACAGCTCAGCAGCTGAAATGTCCCAGGCTTGGGCTTGTCCTTGGTGCCTGTTCCAGGCCTGAAACCAGACTGGGTTTCCTTGTGCTTGTCACAGGTGTTTGTGCAGCGAGACCTCGAGAGTCCGTGGTTGTTGGTGTCCCCTGTGCTGGCTTGGCTGCGAGGGCTCACCCAGGGCAGATCTCTTTCCTGGGGGAGCAAGTCCTGCTCTTTCTGTGTTGTTTTCATTATTTCCACTTTACCAAGGGTGATCTCTTGGCTTCAATACCTCAGAATAACATATTCAGATCAGGCTGTTCATCACAGAGCTCTGAAAGTACCTTGTCCTGCTAGGTGCTCTCTTTGGGACACTGAAGAAACAACAAGATTGATGGGCACTTGCCTCACACAATTCAGGGAAAAGTTATTTTAAATTGCAATTATTTCCCACATAATAAGCAGGAATCTAATTTTTGTTGTTACACTTACATTACTGTAATGGGACTTTGCTTGAATGGGAAGATGTGTTTTCAAATTCACTGTTTCCAACTGCACAGACACACTCAAGGTGTGTAACATTTAATGATACTGATCACTGGTGTGTAATGCAATCAGCGTTTATGTTTCTCTAGTGTGACTTATTGATGCCAGTATATACACACTGCACCTTCCTCAGCTTTTTCTGGGAATGCTGGTGCTGTCTGTCCTGTCAGCTGATGAGCCAGAGATGGGCTCAAAAACAAGGAGAGGGGGCAGAGGTCTCTGATGGGGGTCCTGTGCAAGGTGCAGAACGAGCTGCATGGGTTACAAACACATTCCATCCTGCTGATGGCTTTTAATCCTCATTGTTCTCATGGGTTTTCTTGATAAATACACTTCTCAACCTCCACTGAGTTGTCATCCAGGCCTGAATTGTAAGGAACAGTAAACATAATGGACAGACTCAACTTAATAGATTTTGCTACAAGCTTTTTATTAGCGCAGCTTTTTAAAAAGAAGAAGGAAAAAGAGATGACTGCATTTATTTACTTGAAATGCAGAAAGTAGCTCTTTGAAATCCAAGGGAAGCATGCCCCAGTGGGCTCAGTTCAGTTGGTGGCTGTGGAATGAGGGAAGGATCCATCCTGCAGGTCTGGAATGGGTTAACAGTGCCTGCAGATGTTCAGGAATTCCTCTTTTGACTTGACCGTGGGGTTTTGCTGCTCTTCAGGGCACAAGTGCACTCCAGTCTCAGCAGGTTCATGGGTTTGGAGATGCCTTTCATCCTCTCCTGTTCTTGCTGCGTGCTCGGGGAGGGATCACGCTGTGTCTTGCAGCCATGTGTCTTCCTTGGTTGCGTTTCTAGAGATTTGCAGACCCACATAAAACATCCATTAAATTAAGCAAAATGGCCTTTAGAAAGCTACATTTCAAGTGGAAGAAATGCTTTATGTAACGTAGGGGTATGTGAGGGGACCTAAATACAAGCTTAAATTGGCTGTTACGAAAATAGGTATAATTGGGTTTTTGCACAGTGATTTTACAGCTTCTGAGTTTAATGTCCTGGTGAAATCCTGCATCCAGTCCACGTGCAGCTGAGGAGATGGGGGTTGAGGAGCCTGAGCAATGGGACTTGTTCTAGGAACAGCCTTGCCCTCGATTGCAAAACTGGACATACCTGTCATTTGCTGAGGCTCTGCTGTGTCTGAGAGGTGTCTGGAGTGGTGATTCCTTCTCACCTGCGTTTGCCCTTCGGTCTCTGCCCTCAGCCACCCTGTGTCAGGGGAAGGGGCATCTCTGACCGTGGTTGTAACTGCTTGCAGGTGAAAAATGCAGCTGTACCCTCCTAACTGGGCACATGCCAAGAGCTGCAGCTTTGTTTTCCAGCCAGATCAATGCAGTTCGTTTAAGTCGTTGGGTAATTTAGTAGCTGGAGGCACTTCTGTGGGCTTGGCGTGAGAGCCACTGCTTCACTTCCCCCTCGGGAAGGCTGGGGAGGGTTTCCCTCTGAACCCAGGCTTCCCCAGCTGCATCCGGGCACAGGTGATGCTCTGGGGTCTTTGTCCAGCCATTCTGGGATCAGGAGCCTGGGGAAGTGCAGGATATCACATTTTGACCTTGCATCCTCATATTAATCCTGATGGTTTTTCCTGTCTCAATATTTAAAGCCTTTCCATTCTTCTGTCTGGGGAGACAGAGTATTGGCTCTCCCGGGTAAAGATTGACACATCCTCTTTTGGAAAGTTTGTCTCAAAGCAGGTTTTCTTCATAGAAATCAAGGTGCCTTTGAATCCCGTTGGCAGGAATTGGAAGAATGTTTATTTTTATTTGGTCTATCTTCAACCAGTTAGGCCTGAGAGCCAGTTTCCTTTCTAGTTAGGTCTTGAAAGGATGTAAAAAATCTGCTGCTTTCCTTGGAGTCTCTTAGCCAAGGCATGGGAAGAATGCCTGGTACTGCGAGGCAGGGCAGAAAAAGCTGAGATAGTATTTGCTGCTTCTTTGAAACTATCCCTTTTTAATTGTCTAAACAGCAATTCAAAGAAAATCTCTGTTCTTCTCTATCTTCTTCCAGCATTATAATTCTATATAATCACTTTTCTTTCTCTAAAAGAATAGAGCATGATTCTTTTTTTTCCAAAAGGGAGAAGGGATAAATTCCAGATGTTGCTGGGATACACTTTTTGCCTCTGTTTAACATTTAGTGGCTTTCAGTAAATATGCTGCAAGAGGTGGGGCTGGTGTTTTTATTCCAGGACGAATCATCTACAACAAATCCCATCTGCCACTGGGGGGAGAGTGTCTTTTGGGTGTGACCTGGTGGGGTTGGAGCTGATTCTGCCAGAGACTGAGGCTGGCCCAGGTGCTGCTCTGGGGTTTTTGCCCTTGGTCACTTCATGCTGCCTTTCCCACTCCACTGCTGAGCTCCTGCTCTGTGAGCATGAGGGTCAGATCCCTGGCATGGGAATGGGCACTAAACTGGCACAGGGCATTTTTGGGAGCAGCTCTGCTCTGCAGGCAGCCCTGGCTGGGTGAGGGCTGTCATGTCCTCTGTGCTGTGCCACGTGGGATGCTCAGTTTAGCAGGACTCTCCTGGCCAGCCAGGCCTTCTGCTGCTGGTGTTGCAGCCCAGCAAAGAACATCCTGCACCAGTGTGGGGCTGGATCCAGAAACTGGGCTCTGCACATGGGCAGCCCTTTTCCCTCCTTTCTTGCCTTTTCAGTGCATGCTGTGTTTGTCCCTGCTGTGCAGCCTTGCAGGTGAAGCAGCAGTGATTTTCCAGCATGTGTTGCACAGAGGCGTTGTGGGACCAACACAGCAGCTCCATTCCCTGTTTCATGTTTTCACCTGTTTAGGCAAAGCACATCTCTGCTTTGTTGGCAGCCTGTTGGGTTGCACAAACAGTGTAAGACAAAACCACGAGCAGGTGTTGGTCCAGCCAGGGTAATTACTGGTTCCATGCTGCTGCTGGTAGGCAGAGAGCCTGAGCCACCCTTCCCATGGAGCTGTCTGGCAGCACTGTGGCTGCAGAAGGGCTCAGGGCACGGCTCAGCCACTCCCTGGATCTCTTCCCTGCTGCCGATTGCATAAAAAAGTTTATGCATATAAGGAGGGAGGGAGGGAGGAGAGCTGAGGGTGGCTCTGGTCAGGTTTAAAGCACCAGCTTTATGTGCCAGTTCTTATTTGCATTTTGAAAATTGGCAAATGCATGGCTGAACCTAAAGGGCAGATGTGAGGATGGGTGAGGCAGGCGTGCTAAGAGACAGAGGAGAAGCAACATCCCAAAATCTTGCCTGACTTCAGAGGGTTCAGGCTGGCATGTCTCACACATCCCAGAGCATGGCCAAACATCTTGGATGAGACATGATGGGGAGCTCGTACCCACACATGCACAGGGTGTCACGCTGCATCACCTGGGCTGTGGAGCAGGGAGGGGAGAGACATTGCTTTCTATCCTTTTGGAAATTTAGCCAGAGAAAAGCTGATCCTGATCCAGCCAGCTGCATGCACAGTGTCTCTTTCTCTCAACTTTTAAATTTCCTTTGAGCTCCCACCCTTCTGGGTCTCCCAAACCATTTTGGCATCCACTTTTTCTCAGACTCTACATTTTACTTTTGGGACTCCCACCCTTTTTGGCCTCCAGTCTTCTTTTGGCCTTTCACTCCTTTCCATCCTCCCACCCCTTTTCAGGCTTTGTGCAGTGAGCTGGCTGAGCAGGAGGAGGAGGAGGAGGTCCAAGCTTGTTGCCACACGTTGGTGTTTGGCTCGGCAGAATTCCTTTCTCTCCTTTCCTGTCACGCTTGGTGTCGGTGCCCGTTCCAGGGGGTTGGTGGTGGTGCACATGGGCCTGGAGGCTCTCAGCTGCATTCAGGTGACACCTCGTATTTTCAGGCCCACTTTTGAACAGCTGCATGTGAAGCATCTGAATCAGCCTGACTTCACATCAGTGAGCCCAGCCTGTGACCCCTCGCTGTTTAGCTGCTGCAGTAATTTACACTGACTCTCTGATCCTTAATCTTTTTCTGGGATTAAAAAGTTGCTTTTCTCTGTCCTCCCAGGTACACGGAAAGTAACTTTTTAAAGCTTTATTTGAGAGCAGTGATGTGCTGATATATTCCCTTGAGCCTGCTGTGTTGCTGCAGAGGCAGGAGCAGTGTGAGGAGAGCCGTGTGCCCGTGGCCCCAGCGTGCTGTGTCTGGCAGCTCCTGCCTCCCTTGCTCTCGGGTTAAAGGCCAGTTTTATAGGCCAGTAGGACTCCTTCTGATCAGACTGTACTAATTAGTACCAATTAACCATTATCAGTGACAGACAGTTCTTACAGGCTTAATAAAAGAGTCCTGTGTACACGTGTTTCTTTGGCGAACCTCCTGCGGGATGCAGAGCTCCCACCCAGCCCAGAATGTCTCAGCTTGCCAGGCACTGGGGAGGATCCATGTCCTGGAATCCCTTCAGTGTTGCAGGCAGTCGCACACTGATGGGTGACAGAGAAGTCATGAGTTATCTTCTGTTACAAACTTTCTGCTGCTTTGTTCGCCTCACTTGAAAATACATCTGCCGGGCATTGCTCTTGGGGTGTTGTGCAAGATTTTGCTGTGGCTCTTCCTCTTCAGCACTCCACAGCCACTGCCCTCACTATGGGCCTGTGGTGTCAGGAGACCCCGAGCTGTCACCAGGCTCAGCAGCATGTGGGGCTCAGCTCTGTGTGTTTGCAGAGGAGACAGAGTGTGATAAACAGTCCATCAGTGCCTTGAAGGGCAGAGTGCTGCCCTGCGCCGTGGACAGGCAGTCTGGCATCGTTGCATGTGGCAGGGGGGTGTCTGGGGTGGGTTGAGTGATCCCCAAAACTTCACAAACCACTGTGAAACTTTGGCATTGCCATTAGGGGAGATCAGGAGAGCAGTCCTGGGGAAGCAGGGGAGAGAGGAAAGGGACCTGGTGTAGCAATGTCTGGTGTGGGAAAAGCACGTGGGGTCATTAGCAGGAGTGTGGCACCTCTGGCACTGCTGGCCCTGTGGAGATGGTGGGAGCAGGTGTCTGCTGGCCATGGGGAGCTCTGCCAGGACGAGTCCCCAGGAGGGGAGCTGGGGTGTGTGTGCAGCCGCTCGGAGGTGGCTCCCATCACTGACAGATCCTTTCTGTTTTTCTTTCAAATGTCTCCAGGCACTGAATGTTTAGGTCGCACCTTTCCAGGTAAACTGGGTAAGTGAAGTATTTCAAGAGTTGCCAAGATCTAATTACGAAGGCTGATTGCATGATTGCAGCTGCTGCACTGTAAACACCCCTGTTACTGCTCCACGGAACGGGTGGGACATTGCCTGGCCCCCAGAGCAGCAGGTACCTGCTCTTCTGGTGCAGAGGGGGATGCAGTGGTGTCTTCAGAGGCTGACTGTGCAAACCTGCTGGTTTTTGTCTGTCCATATCTGGCTGCCCTTTGGTAATCCTGGATGGGATTTTTTTTTCTTCTGCTCTTCAATATAGAAACATGTTCAAAAGCTGTCATTTTAAGCACCAGTATTCTTTCGTTTGCTGCTGCTCTGGCAAACTGATGAGCAGCATTACATTGAGGAAAGAAACTTTCACTCTATTTTATGAAAGTAAAGTAGTTGACGTCTTGAATTTTTTTAAGCCATGGGATGTGGGACTTCTGCTGAGTGTGGCCAAAGATGTCCATGTTCAGCACAGACAAAACCAGACACTGGAAACTCTGTTAAACCAGGCTCCTGGATTTGAGCTGAACCTGTTTGCAAAAGAGCCTTTAAAAAGACACTTTTATAATGTTTATGGATCTCTCTCAGTTTAGAATTGAGTTTATGGCAGTACCTCAAAACTAAGGTGTCTTTGCTCAAATGTGATGTGTCAAGCCTGCTGGAGAAGAACTAGCTAAATACAGTGTTAACAAGTGGTGAATAAATGATTTTAATAAATGGCAAATCAATTGCTATAGAGCCTGGAAAGTCAATAGAGCTTATGACCTTGGCTTATAACCACACTCAGATCCTTAACATGCTTATAATGCCTACAAATCATTCATTAGGCTTTTATCAAGCATCAATTAGTAAAAGTCATAATCTAAAATAAGATGAAGAAAAAGAATTATTTCAGTCCCTTTATTCCGAGCCTGGTGGCACAATTTGGTTGCACAGCAGGATAGTCCTTGCTTATGCAAAAAAGCTGTAAGACACCACCAGTCCCCCGGCAGCGTTATCGTGGTGCAGACATCAGGCAGGGGAACCGTGGGAGCCTGAGGCTGGGATCAGCCCTGGAGCTGGGACACTCACACCAGCCCGCAGGGAAACTGTCCTGCAGCAATCAATGGTTTATTTACATTTATTTTATATTAATGCCTTAAGATCTCAGCAGATCAGGCGGGCAGAGGGAGCCGCGGTGTCCCAGTGCTCTGAGCGGTTCTCGGGGCTTTTTCGCTCCAGCAAAAGGTGTTTGGCTGTTGCTCCATGGTTGTAAAACTCACACCCGTTTTCTTGTGCTGTGATTTGGGAAGGTGTGTGAGCGGGGATGTGCTGGAGCTGTGCTGCTCTTCCTGCTTTCCCTAGTCTTCCCATTCTGTGTGTGTGTTTGTGCCTCGGGGAGGGAGGCAGAGATGCAAGTGAAAACATGCGGTTTTCTTAGAATATAAATAACAGAAAATTAAGTATAATTTTTGTTTGTTGTAGAGTCATTCCCTGCAGTCTCCAGTTGTTTGCTCCTTTGCTGCACTCCTGTATTCTTTGGGGTTTTTTTCATCTTACCAGATGGATACTATTTGGAGTGTGCTGCAGGACACTTCAGTGATCTTGCTGCAGGGTTAATTGTGCACCCAGCGAAGAGCTGTGCTTGCAGACATCAGTGCATGCCCGGGCTTCTGAAAGCCCGGCCTGCCAGACGGGGCTGCCTCTATCAGACGGCTTTTTGCCTCGCCTTTGTTGTCTGGGTCCTTGTCTGCAGCTCCAGCCTGGGCCGGCATTCCCAGACATCGCCACCTCCGCCACCCGCGTCCTCCCGGAGCGCCCTGCTGCTGCCTGCAGAGCCAGAGCCCCGGGGACCAATGCCCGTGCCCATCCCTGTGCCACCTGGGCTAAAACCCTGCATGTGCTGGGTCAGAACTCCAAACCTGGGCAGGGAGCAGCGCTACCTCCTGCAAGGGAGGTTTGGCATTCACTGGGCTTTTTTTCCTGGGTTTTTGAGGTATTCCACCATCTCCCTGGTAACTCCTGGGTGTCTGGGGTGTGGATGTCAGACTCTTGGATTCCTGTTAATGACTTGTGGATCCCTCTCGTGCCTGCTGAGAGGGAACAGTTTGGCTGAGCTGCAGCCTCTGCCCGGATCTGTGTGCTGGGGCATGGTCAGGCACCACCGTGTCCCCTCCATGGGGAGTGAAAGAAGAGGTGCTGCAGTTTCTGGTGGATTTTCTGTCAGCTCTCCTGCTTCTCACAGAGGGCGGCTTGGAAATGGGTACAGAGGGGGAAGGAGAGAATACCTTCAACAAATGGCTGATCATCTTATTTTGGAGGAGATGCATTCCTTGAACTCTTTAAAATCAAAGGGCAAGGTGGAGGGTTTGCACCAAGCAAAATTCACATAGCTAAACATTGCAAGTACATGAAAATGTATGATTTCTTCAAAGTTTGGGTGAATTCTGAGAAGCTGGGTCGTGCTCTACATTCACTGAGACGCTCCCCTGTGAAAATGCCAATGTGCACCATTCTTTATTTTATTGTTGTGGGTTTGGGCATTTAGTTATATTAGTCTTAAATGCATTTGTTTCCATAGCTGCACACTGCTGATAAAATCCCAGTGTGGGATCTCTCAGTCTCCCTGTGCATGTGCACCAAAAATAAATCCCAGGCAGTTGTCAGGAGATGAGCTGCTGCCATGGCAGGTGCCAGGCTGTGAGGAAATTCTGGCTGGACCCTGCTGAGGCTGCAGGTGTGTGGCATCTTGCCCTGGTGCCACCATCCAGTGTCTTGCCACAGCTCCTGGCTCTGTTGATGCCTCAGTAGTTCCCAGGGACCTGGAGCACCTGGGGAAGGAGATACCACAGGGCTGGTGATGTTTTGGAGATGGGGTAAGAAGCATCAAAGGCAGGGGGAGAAGAAAGTCCTTGTCCCTCACTTTTTTGTTGTGTAAAGTATGGATGTGGTGAGTTGTGCTGGTGAAGGATTGGCATCAGGTGGCTACCAGGATACTAAAACTCCTCTCTTGTTCTTAATTCACTGTACTCACCATCAGCTGTTGATAAATCACCTCTCATCAGAAGGAGGTGGGGATTTAATGGCTGTTTAAGTGATCTCAGTTGCTGGGTCTGGTTTTGCTTGGTCTCAGGCTGTAACTGCAGAGCTCCAGCCTGGAGTTGGCAGAAGGAGGGAGGGTTTCCTGCAGCTGCCTGAGGTGGCAGCTGAGGTGCCAGGGGTTGCAGGTCCCATGTGGAGTGGTGCCACTGAGCCAGTGAGTGTCACTGATGCCCAGGGTGGCACACACCAATGCCACCATGGGTCACACTGGATTTACATCCATACAGCTGGGCTGGAGCACATCTTCCAGGTATTTACCTTTCCTTTAAGAACAGTGAAACTAAAGGGTTTTGTTTTGCCCAGCGTTCTGGTCTCTGGATTCCCGGGTTTGTGTGCGGCCCCACTCTGTGCTGGGTGTGCTCAGTGCTGCTCCTCCTGCCTGTGCTGGCACGGTCAGGGCACGGCCCAGGCGTGGGATCACCCCAAAACCTTATCCTGAGGGCACATGGAGGTGGTTGGCCGGGAGTGCTTCCCCTCACTGCTCTGCCAGGGGTGTTCATATCCCCCCCGGATGCTCTCTCTCCTTTAATGCATCTTTTTAAGTACTGGGTAATAGTGTTTTCTTTCTGGCAGAGACGAACGAGGGCTTTTAATAGGTCTTTTATTTTCTCTTCGTGCAGTTCCCTGGCAGTAACCTGCCATTAGCTGCAGCATTTATGTAGGGTATTTGTATTTTTATATGTGGGGACCTCAACACTGGGAAGCCAAGGGGTTTGATCAGGGTCACACAAGAAATATGTGTTAAAGCTGGGACTTTGGCTTTTCCTGAATGTTGAGCTGATCTCTAGGCTTGGCAGAGAGGGAACATTTTGGTTTGTCCCCTTTTAATTGAGCCAGACAGGGAAAGCAGAAAAATAAAGGCTCTGTGGAAGGAAGCATGGATTTCTTTTTTGCTCTTTCCTGTTGGCAAACTGCGCGGGGCTGGAATTGCAGGATCACCGTGTTCAGGAGCGGGAGGATGCTCTGTGCAAAAAAAAATACACGGAGGCAAAGGGAAACCCGGGGCTGGAAATCTGTCGGGCTCCTTCACCTCCACGGGTTCCAGCTGCGCTGGGAAGGGGAAGCCGCCCTGCAAAGGCTGTGCTGGGGAGGGAAGGAGGGAGGGAAGGAGGGAGGGCTGTGCCCCCTCCCCCGGCAGCGGCTCGGGCGATGCTGCGGCCGCAGCTGGGGCTGCCCCGCAGCGCCTCTGTGCCCGCCTTGTGTGAGCAGCCCCCAGTGTGCCGGAGCACAATGCTCCCTTCACTCCCCGGCAGACTGGAGGTCTAGACGCTCTCCCTGCCTTTTGTTGTCGGGGTCACAGGTTAGGGAGCGTTCCCAGCTCCTTTTCCCTCCGCCGGTCAGGGATCGCTCCCCGCGCGGAGCGCTGCGCCGGGGCGCCCCTCCGGAGGGAGTCACCCCGCTACCCAAACACACTCAAAATTGTTCTGGCAGCTCCCAGAAAGAAATGTGCTTTTTGAAAGGCAGTCGAGATCACCCCCACTCCAGTTCTTGCCGGCACAGATGCTCAGCTGACACCAGCTAAATAGAAACCTTTTAGCCCTTGCCAGTAAGTCTGGAGCAAACTGCCAAAAAGCATCGAGGACCAAGACACAAAACGAAGTCAGGCCCGAGCAAAGTACTTGCAAATGAAGGATGGAACTGAAGTGTTCTGTCTCTTGATTTTTAGCACATGAGGTGCTTCAGTCTCGGGGTTGTTTTTTTTTTTTTTTTTTTCTGAATACAATGGTGGTATTTTTAAAGGTTTTCAGCAGATACAAAGCAAGTAACTCCCCTAGCAACAAAGGGAAGGTTTTTCCCTTAATGTGAGCTTTTTTAACATGAAGCATTTGTGAAATTTTCTTTCCCTCTTAAAGACAAGTTTGGCTGAAGGAGACATTTTTAGTGGCTTTTGGACATATTTGGAGATGGGAC